TCATAGGGAACAATTATCCTTTTAAGTCGAATGCAAGAAAGTTTTTATTCTTATGAAATCACCTGGGAATTTGAAGTATTTCCACACCTGCTATCATAAAAGTTATTACTTTGCAAATTAAGTAACACTGGAGCTATTACTAAGCCTACTGTAACAAAAGTCTGTCAGACTACACACCAAAAGATATTAAAAATAATTAATATAAAAGCTGTTCTCCCATACTTGCAATATTTCACTCCAACAAGATTAAAAAGAAATTTTCAAAATTCTGAAAATTATCAAAGGTCCAATACGTTGTCAGTAAAAGGTAAAAAGTCACTAAAATGGCACACAATTTCTTTTCATAGCTTTTGCTTCTTAAAAATTCTTTCAACTTGCTCAGGTTAATCATTAAAATGATGCATTATACAAACAGTGCCAAAAAATTCAATTCTGAATTGTTTTTTCATCATTGCACTCATTTTCCTCTTTGCTCATTCCAAAACTATTCCTCCAGATGTTCACCATTAGAATGTTTCTTTCCTTGATGAACTATGAACAAAGTCATATTCAGACGCTGTGTGTGTACAGTACAAAGGAGAGTATGTTAGCAAAGTTAAGGTACTGGAAGAAGAAAATGGGATTGTATTGTGAAAACAGGATGAAACAATAATGCAGTTATACTTGTGCCACTGTGCTCGTATTCAACCACTGATGTGAAACTTTTATCATCATCTACATCCCATCCAGCTTCAGCCCAGAGGCTCCTTAGAGGAACAAAAAAGTTCCATCTTTTTGTGTTATTGCTAAATAAAGAAAAAAAAGCAATTAGCATCAAGGTATCTAAACCCACGTGTTGCTTGTTCTCCTTATCTAGATATTTACATACCTTCCCCCCCCCAAGTTTATTTTGTTTAGTATCATCATTTTAATATTAAACAATATTCAAAATCCTTCTGAGTCTGAGAAATTTACAGCTGTTTTGTCATTGGTGTGACAGAGCAAGCCAATTTGGAAGGATTTCTAGAGGAGAATTTATTTTTCCTTAAATCTTTCAAAGATGCAGCTGCTGAGTGCTATGTGGATACTTGCTAACCTAGAGAAAAGCTACCGCACAAACCTCAGAAGCACTGAGCAGCATTGTTGTAAAACCACTTTATACCTGACTGACAGCATCCCCTCCCGAAAGCTTAGTACCTTCAAATGCTGTATCAGATCTTTACTTTCCCGAGTGCCCCAGTCCAGTCAAGTATTATCTCTCAAATCCCATCTCATCCCCTCACGTATGATTTCTGCAAAGTAGAGAGGAAAAGGACCAGACCTCCTATAGTAAAGGCAGAAATGATCCATGTGAACCCCACTTCTTTCAGAAAACAGCAATCTCTTGTATGCCATTCTGAGCCCTTTCATGACATACAATGCATGCACGAACGCACATATGAGACTGGACAATTGAGTTGTCTAAATAGTCACAACGCTTTATATGAAAAAGCTCTTTTCATTTCCAAAGTCCTTGTGAAATAATTCAACATTAGACCTTGGTGGCCATATTGTACAACATGAAAAATTCTAAAGTATTCAAAAAGCCTGGATTTAAATAATAATTGCCTACTAAGAGTCTAGTAGGAAAAAAAGCAATTAGGCTACAGAAGATTAAAAAGCCATTACACTGATATGACCGAAGATCCTCTCAAGTGAACACTGTCTTGTGTATTTTCAGTACCCACTTCAGTGGGCAGTCCCTAACATATTTAACCATGCTTTAGGCAACAGTACCACCTATAGATAAAACATGCCATGAACTATTTAGTAGTTCCACGCACACTCTTTTCTGAGAAACTTATTATAGTTAATGAATAATAATGAAAAATAATGGAAATAATATTTATAATTTAGTACATAAATCCCTATATTGGGATTTATGTGACAAGGTCCAATGACGGTACAACTTTTGAAGGGAAACGGCACTCCGAAGTTTAGCACAGCAACTTATACCAGTCATTGTTATACTACCAGTACAAATACAGAAGTTGGGCAGAACTAGCAAAGTGTGTCCCAGATTTAGGATCACTAGATCTGCCAATCTTCAACAGATTGAAATAGGATTTTAATCAAAACCACTGTAAATATTATTAAGGGTCTGTGGATTAACTGCATGTTAACCCCACTGATTTAGCTGACCACACACTGAAGTAATTGAAGTAAAAAAAGATACTCCTTCCCAAGTTAGATAAAAATTGCATTATGGTAAGTTATTGGCATCTGGAATGCATTTTCTGCTTCTGCAAACCAAGCTTTCCATTTTCACCATGAAACTGATAAAACTGCTTCTCAACTAAAGCAGTAATTTCTAGTCAAACCCTGCATTCTGATTTAAATTTCTCAGCAAAACTAGTTGAAGTTTCATATTTAGTACCAGTCTCAAGATTAGAAGACACCTTGTCTGTCACACTAAACATCATTAACATATTTTGAAATAGTATATAAACAATGTATTATATAGAGGAACTAGTAAGGACTATTATTTGCAATATTTGACACAAAAGCCTAACTGCCTTTGTGGCTTCTGAGTGTTCCATTAATAACAAGGTGGTTTTGTATTCAAATGCTAGAAGTCAGCCATAGTATCTCACATGTTCTATTATACATGGGGAAGGAAAAAAAAAAAAGTTGCACTTCTTAAATGAAGAATAATAACTATAAGCTACTCCAAAAACTGAAATCTAGCATCTTCTTCTGCCACTTGGAATCTCTCATTCTGTGTCAACCATAAAAACCTATGGACTCTCCTCTGCAAATCTTAATTTAATCAAATTTTAGAACACTTCAAAGTTGTCCACGTTCCACTAGGTGGCAGTGACTCAACCTACTACAGGCCTGTTTTCAAAGTGTCTTAAATTTTCTGTTTCAATATGTAATCATAACTCAGAAAAGAATACGTACTCATCTTTGATAGATTAAAAAACTAAAATGTAAGAAAGTGCTTTCTAGGTTTTAGGGTTTTTATGCAATTACTCTGAAAACCTACTTTACAGCACCCCTTATAAAAATAATGGAAATAAAGTGTCACAACTTGGTTGATGTGATGTCATTCAGAAGACAATGCTAGATTGCACTGTAATGCCCTAAATCCTGAAGGACAGAATTAACTCAGAGTTAAACATTAATTTATCCCTTACAGTCTCCATCATTCCATCATTCCGAATTACTTTCGTTCTTGTATTAATTTTGCCAAATCATTTTGACTGAAAAAGCA